GAGTGAGTGTGTGAGTGAGTGAGTGCGTGTGAGTGTGTGTGAGTGTGTGAGTGAGTGAGTGTGAGTGAGTGTGTGTGTGAGTGTGTGTGAGTGCGTGTGAGTATGTGAGTGAGTGAGTGTGAGTATGTGAGTGAGTGAGTGTGTGAGTGAGTGCGTGTGAGTGAGTGAGTGTGAGTGTGTGAGTGCGTATGAGTGTGTGAGTGATTGAGTGTGTGAGTGAGTGAGTGTGAGTGTTTGAGTGTGTGTGAGTGTTTGAGTGAGTGTGAGTGCATGTGAGTGCATGTGAGTGTGTGAGTGAGTGCGTGTGAGTGTGTGAGTGAGTGTGAGTGAGTGTGTGTGAGTGAATGTGAGTGAGTGTGTGAGTGAGTGTGTGTGCGAGTGAGTGCGTGTGTGAGTGTGTGAGTGCGTGTGAGTGAGTGTGTGAGCGATTCCCGCTCACGGCCAGCACCGGTGACGATCATCTGAACCGGTCCTGGGCCTCCCCTATGTCAACTCAGCCTCAAATGAATACTTGGTGCGGTTGTGTAAACATTGGCACTGGGGAGTCAAAGGCGGCCGGGCGTGGTGTTGACCACCCACCCCCTCGTGTACCGTGCCGGCCTTCACAGGTGCCACTCGCTAAAGAGCACGTGCCCCCAACATTCTGTTACAGGCTACACAGGGGGGGGTGGAGGGGGATCGTTTTTGTCTTTGTGTGAATGGCAGGAAGACCATTCATAAAATGAGCATTCAAAACCAGCATTGCCCAGAGCAACCTCAACACGCTGCAAAGCACAGGCCTCTCTGCCTGAGAGCATCATGCGCAGTAGTTCGAATCTCGGTCGGGGGGGCTGACTCAACCCATCATCACTCACGGGCGGATAAAGTGACGACAACCGTGTGGGGAACGCGACAAAGCTGGCCTGTGGAGTGACTTGGCCCTGCCATAGGAATGCCTAATATCCACCACTCGCTCAGTGAGGGCTGCTAAACGTGAGATGAGAACCCGCCCCTTCCCGTCGTTTTAAAGGGAACCCATCTGACTTTGGGTGTTAGTCGCTGATGTGTGGTTTTTTTCCATGTATTATTATTTTACTACCTTCCAGCGAGAAACAACACGGTATTCATCGGCGTTTACGGCATGCTGACAGAACCCCTCTCTGAACCCAGGGAAGTTATTTAGAACTCTTCGGTTTTTTTAAATTGTTGTATAATGATCACCTTCGGTTTCTTTACCCGGGGGGGGGGGGTGGTAGGAGGAAGCCATGCAACTCATCCCCACCGTGCGAACACCGCATTGTGTCACGTGGCATTTAAAAACGAAGGACTCTCAGGACGCAGGTGCTGCCCATGGTCAAGTGCTGCCCCGTGACACGCACGTGTGCGTGCGTGTCTCTGCGATGGGGGGAGCGGTGGCGCTACGGTTTGGTGCGCTGCGAGCCCCCGGTGGCCCGAGTTCAATTCCCGCTCGCCACCGCTAACAGTGGCGAGTCTTTGAACCGTTCATGCGGCGCCCCTAGGTCAGTTCGGCCTCAAATGAGTACATGGTGTGGTGTGTGAACATCGCCACTGGGGAGACAAAGGCGGCCGGGCGTGGTGCTGGCCACCCACCCCCTTTGTGTGACGTGCCGGCCTTCATCGGCGCAATTCGCTAACAACACACAAAGACAAAGATCCCCCGTATAGCTTTAACAGACTGTATGGGTAAGTGCTGTTAGCTAGCACCTATGAAGGCCGAGGGGGTGGGTGGCCAGCACCACGCCCGACCGCCTTTGTCTCCCCAGTGGCGATGTTTACACACCGCACCAGGTACTCATTTGAGGCTGAGTGAGGTTCACAGCGCAACGCGCTAACCACCACCGCCACCGCTCCCCACACACGAACTTACAGACGTGCACGCATGTACAGTACTTGTACATACACACAATATACACATTTGACAGGGGTTAACATTTCCCTTCTTTGCAACTTGAGCAAACAGATGTTGTCATGGGGCTAATGTTCGGTGCTGCTCATGCACACAGACAAAGGTACGCCGTACAGCCTCTGTCGGGGTAAGTTTTGTTTGGCAAGCACCTATTAGTGCCGGCACAGTGGACGAGAAGGTGTTGTGGTCCAGGCTGAGTCGACCTAGATGAGGCCTTGAACAAGATCGGATATTCGCCACTAGTGTTGCCCTTAGCAGGAGTCAAACTTGCGTCAGTTCAGTTCCATTTATTTTGGTATAGCCCTGTGAGCCATTCGGCTCTTGAATCGGGTGCAACCACAACAAACAAAAAAACAAAAACACGAACAAGAAAAACATCTTAAATTGACTATGTGACTGTGCAAACAGAAAATCCAGGAAAAAAAACCTGCAAAATATTCCTGAAAAAAGCACCGAACACCAACGCTGTGTGCAAAAAATCCCAGTGGGATGCAAGTCAAGCAACAACAACAACCACAAGACAACTTAGATTAAGGCCATCAGTCTAACTCCGTACTACAACAAACATGGCCAAACCAAAAAACTTTTAGAAATCACCAAAATAAAGCCATAATTGCAACGTAACAGTGATCATAGGAACTGTGACCGAATTTTTAACAATAAAGTACATAAATAACATGTAACACCAAACCCTAGAGCCACAGCTGGCTGCATGAGTCACTCCACAACAACAGGAGCATCAGTCAGAGTATCACATTTTTCAATGCACCTTTAAGATCAGCACACTAAATCAAAATACAGATAATACTTTGCAGCGGTCATCATTTTATTTTATTTTAGGCCACTGAATAACAGTGGCAGCTAGGGGTGTACAACTCCTCTAGAGCAGTTTTGAGTCAAGATCTCATAGGTAGTGATTCAAGTTGCAGTTTATTGGCAAAAACATTCCGAAACGCAGCGCACGAACGCAGCGGTTAATGTTGCCACACTCAACAACAGCAACTGCCATTGGCCGCTGAGAGATTGTGACATCACCACAGAGATTGTGCCAGGCTGGGTGCATCTTGAGGCAAGGAGGTCACGGGGCAGACCCAGGCGTCATGGGTTGACTGACTGAGATGACGGACATATGCTCCCTGCTGTGCTAACTCAGTCCATGCACGCAGACACGTGCATGCACATTCAGTGCACACACGCACACTGACATGTACAATAAAGACACGCATACACACGCAAGCATGCAAATACAAGACAATTCGCCCGTATAGTCTCAACAGACTGTCGGGGCAAGTGCTGTTAGCGAGCACCTATGATGGCAGGAACAGTACGTGAAGGGGGTGGGTGGCCAGCACCACGCCCGACCGCCTTTGTTTCCCCAGTGGTGACGATTTAACACACTGCAGCAGGTACTCATTTGAGGCTGAGTCGACCTAAGGGAAGCCCAGGACTGGCCGTGAGCGGGAATCGAACTCGCGTTGCCAGGTTCGTAGCGCAGCACAGCGCTAACCGCTGCACCACCGCTCCAAGCACCCAGATGGATACACGCATGTCCACGCTCGCACACGCAAATGCGCCATAAAAAAATCATTCCTCGCCATGGATGAAGTTAACAGAGTACGTAACGCGTGAGGCCCTAACATCGTTAACAGTGCACTTTGTATTCTGTTTAAATGTACTTGGCGCGCTATCGCGCGGGGGGGTTAAGCGAGAAAGGGCTTCGATTTGACCGCGCCTCGACTGCACGTTCACGTTGGCACTCCGCGCTCACCGTGACACGCATTGACAAACCGTGACGAGCACGGAACCCCCTAGCAGTGTGAAGTGAGACCATTCACAGAAGTCGTTTCACTGGCGGCTATTCTTGTGAATTGCGTAATCGGAACGCGCGACGTGAAGCGTCGACGGCGTCGATCTTCCACCGCGATTACCGCGCTCGGGAACGCTCGCGTAGAAGCGCACGTGTGCACGCATCGGTTGTTACTCGCGGTTGACGTGAAACGGTCCGCCGATTGCACGTTGGCGTTACGTCTATGGCGAACAGGGCCAACGCAAGCGCACACATGACATGCGATGGAGGCGTTGAGAAGCAACGCAAATCGAGGCGGTAAAAGTAATCGAGATGAGTAAAGAAATGGTGACCATCCATTGAACTGGGGCACAGTGTACAAGCCGAATGGCAAAGGCATATTGGTAGCGCTTGTCGCACTTGATCAGGCTGTTGGGGTCAACTCTGTCGACAAGCACCTATGAAGTCCGGCACGGAGCACGAAATACCTGACCACCTTTGTTTCCCCATTGCACGACGCACTGGGTACTAATTTAAGTTTGAGTCGACCTACGGGTGACCCGGGACCAGGTCTGATATCACTTGCTACTGCTGATGTTAGCCAGAGGTGGGAATCGAACTAGAGTTTTTTCGCGCACTGTGCTAACCAATACACCGCCGTTGCTCCAGTCATACCCAATCCACACTCACGCACAGCGCAGCATTCATGATTCATATTATTTGTATGCTTGTTCACCCAAGAAAGCTTCACTGAGGCTCATGACTCTCTTGCAGGAGGATCCTGTCACGTGTTGTGCAGTTGGGGGCGATGTTGCTACGTGTAATCCCAATTGTATGTATGTCGAACTTATTTAACAATTGAGCTCAAGTGGTGTCTGTACCCTACTGATGAGTTCTAAGAAGGAGGAGAACTGTCTAGAGGACCGAGCAAATTCCTCGGGATGTAACGGCGCCTCGATTCATCAATAATTACAATGTGCAGACCAGTTGCCTCTGACTCACCGCTGCCTGTTGGCTCGTCACATTTGCTCACTCGTGCACGGTGACACGCATGATACGATGACCACAATGCAGTTCTTCAGGAACTGGTGGGTTTTTTGTTTGTTTGCGTAAACGCTTAAGGGCTGAGAGCTTTTTTTTTTGTTGTGCACGCACAGTGCGCCCGTTCTTTGTTGGTACACGCCGCAGACCTGACCGTGTTGCAGGGAGGGCCCGGCTTTGTGATCTGTGGCTGTTGCCGTTTAGCCGCTATCAATCGAGCCGTCTTTTTAACCCGAGCCGTCCCGCCGTCGCCGCCCCTCGGTGCAGGGAAGTTCAAGCTGCTGGAGCAGGAGCGGGACATGAAGGATCCTGTGCAGTACTTCAGCAGCGTCGAGGAGGTGGCCAAGGCGTTTCCAGACCGCGTCTTTGTCATGGAAGACATCTCCTTCAGCGTCAAGGTACTCTTGACTGTTCACCATGACCACCGCCGGGGCCTGCAAAACCCTTCCTCGTCAAGGTGTCCGCCAGTCGTGCTGCTCGGTTAGTTATTCGTTAGTTGTTCGCTTGGCCACGAGATTTTGTTTCAGGAGGGAATAATACGCGCTTTGGGATATTCGTCCACACTAGTGTCACCAGTGAGGGTTTTAAACTATAAGCTTTTAAACATTTTTTTTACCAGGTAAGGCTCACTGAGCTATATAGATGTTTTTCAGAAGCGACCTGGCCACAAATGATAGCTCGTTGAAGTGGCTATTCGCGTGGTAATTTATATCAGTGGCCGAATGCTCTTAACGCATGCTGATTCTAAATGTGGAGGGAAAAACCGGAGGTCCTCGAGAAAAATCCACGTGACCACGGGGGAGAACATGCAAACTCCAAATATACAGCAGGCGTTAGGGTCGGGATCAAACTGACAACCTGTATACCAGGTGATGTATTGAACATCTCACCACCGTGGTGCCTCATACACTTAAAAAAAAATCGCTGGGCAGATTAGTTCTATTGTTTTTTTGTTGTCAAGGTCAGTTTTCCAAATCAGAAAATGTATTGACACTGGAGGAATCTGATGAGCTATAAAGCTCTCTTTCTGCTTGCTCGCGTTTAGACCCCTGTTTGTCCCCTGTCCCTCCGCCGTCAATAACTTCCTTGGGGTTCACAACCTCTTACCTCCTCTTCCAGCTCTGGTCCTCTTACCAAACCTCGTCACCCGTTCGGCGAACCTATCGTACGTGACTTTAGGTTTTCCTCCGTCGTGCTCGGAGGGGCATTGTGGCAAATCGATTTGAAACCTGGCTCCGTGTCCGTTTATCAGCTGTGCATTACAGACAGAGGGGGAAATAAAAACCTCACCTGGCTCGATGGAAATCTGTTTGACTGTTTTGCCCACGCCCCCACATTGGAATTGGCACCAATTTGTAATGAGAGTAAAATGTTACAATGGCATCTGTGTGCACCTGTGCCCGCGTGCGTGGTGTGCGTGTGTGTGCGCGTGGTGTGTGTGTGCGTGGTATGTGTGCGTGATGCGTGGTGTGTGCGTGGTGTGTGTGCGTGGTGTGTGTGCGTGGTGTGTGCGTGTGTGTTGTGTGCATGTGTGTGTGTGTTGTGTGCGTGGTGTGTGTGTGCGCGTGGTGTGTGTGTGTGTTGTGTGCATGTGTGTGTGTGTTGTGTGCGTGGTGTGTGTGTGTGCGCGTGGTGTGTGTGTGTGCACATTTGTTTGACAGCTGTAATCTCAATGGGGCTTTATTGCTGGCACGTGTCTCCATGCACACCCAGTTGGCTCTGAAGCAGTGTCAATTATTGAACATTTCAGGGAGCCAAGGGGTCATTTTTATCCTCGCCGGGTGCTAAATAAAGGCAGTTTTATAAGCAGGGGGAAAACAGTCCGTCATTTGAATGTCGTGCACGATACAATTGCACACAATTCAGGCGAATGAGCTCCCGCGCTTGGAAGATATCCTCTCTCTCTTTAAAAAAAAAGTGCTTTTAGTTTACAGTGGAAACGTTCAACTCGTTGCCAAATCTGCTGAACGCGCGCGCGAGCGAGCGAGCGAGCGTCTCGCGTTCAGCAAATTTGACTTTCGTGTAATCGTCCCTTGAGGCTGCGCGCGGAGCTCGAGTTTGACGGAGGTAAAAACTACCAGTGAACGAAAACCGTTTTCGCAACGAAAGCACGGCCCTCTGGCGTGCACGTACGCCGCAGCCCAACGTAGCTTTAGAGCGGATTTGGCATGACGGTTTAGCGCAAGGCAACGTCGTGAACTTTGCCGGTGAGCAGTGGTTGCTCATAAAAGCCACGCTTGGCCCCGAGTTGAACGATCTAATGCTGACTTTGAGTCCGTGTGGGTGAGGCGATCTATGTGAGCGTGTGTGGAGGCAGGAAGGGAAGGCGGGAAAGAGGGGTGAGGGGGGGGTTGTTTGGCAAGGGCTGCCCTCTTGATTTCCCACAAACACACACGGTTCAAGTCGATAGGAGGGTGCCAAGAGCGGTGGTGCTGCTTCCTCGGACCACATAGCCAGCGGAAGCAATTTGTTCGCTCAAACATGCGAGGCCTTCATTGGCGCTCGTGCCCTGCGTTCAAGCGTTTTGGTTCGTGCCAAAATAAAAGACCGGGAGTTAATTTTTTGTTCGTCTCGCTCTCTCTTTCTCTGTTATTGCAGTTAGCGGTTAAAAAAAACAACAACATTGACGCGACTCTTAGTTTAGTATTAAACTTTTCTCCTCAACCCGTTGATATGTATATTTTTTGTCGTGAGGTGAAGAAACGTGTGCCCCTCCCGGAGGGCTTACAGTCAGCGAACGCTCGTGTCGGGGGCCCCAGAAGGAGACACTGTAGAACTAGTTCTGGAGTGAGTCCGTCCGGCATCAGACAGTGCGTCCTCCATGCTCTGTATGGAGTGATTCCACTGCACATCAGTCATTTGAAGCATCTGCAAACGTTGGTCCTCTGAGCTGGGATGTAAAATAACAACCGGATGTGTCCTCCCTCCGTCTTGGCTGCCATTCGATCAGCAGCCTCATACGTTGGCCACCCTCCCTCCTAGGCCCCAATGCGTTCTGCCCAAGCGCTCGCTCGTGAACATCTCGCCACGGTGGCGAGATGTTCACGAGCTCGCCTGGCGTGCAGGAGGTCGTGGGTTCGATCCCGACACCTGTAAATTTGGAGTTTGCATGTTCTCCCCGTTGGTCGCGTGGATTTTTCTCCGGGTCCTCCGGTCTTACCCTCCGCATTTAGAAACATGCGTTTATAGATTGTTTTGGCTGCTATGAATTTCCGCGTGATAAGCCATTTTTGTGGGCTATCATTTGTAGTCGGGTCGCTTCGAAAAATTATCTTTACAGCTCAGTGGGCCTTGCCTGGTGAAATAAAAATATTTTCGTTTTGTTTCATAGTTTCGCAGTCCCGCACCTCCGGTGAGCACGGCTGGCTTCGTACGGTGCGAAAGTAGCTGGGATTCTCGTCCACCCGAGCAAGTGTAGCGGGATGTTGATGTGAGTCGGTTTGCCCCGATGTTTCCACACTCCGACGAGCGTCGATGTTTTAAATGCCCGATCTTTTATCTCTTTTTTCCCCCCGCTACCGGCTGTAAAAAAAGGAAAACCTGGTGTCGCAATTGTTGCAAAGCTCAGTCGTTGTATTCACGCACTCAGCGTGCTCGCCCGCTCGCACACACGCTCCGTCTCTCTCTCTTTCTGTGCGTCTCTCCCGGGGGGGACGGGGAGGGTGGGGGTTCAAGGTGCACGCTGTTACCACTGGGTTGTGGCCTCGGTTCGAAGATTCGCCGGCCCTCCCCGCAGTGTGTGCAAACACGTGCGCTAATGGGGGCCGCTGTGTGCTCAGCCAAGGAACCATGCAGCCTCCTTCCTTCCCTTGCACTGTCGCGCGCGTGTTCTGTGTGCGCGCGTGCGTGTTGTGCGTGTGCGTGCGTGTATTCTGTGTGTTTGCACGTGTGTTCTGTGTGTGTGCGCGTGTTCTGTGTGTTTGTGTTCTGTGTGTCTGCATGTGTGTTCTGCGTGTGCGCATGTATTTTGTGTGTGAGCGTGTGTTCAGTGTGTGCCTGTGTGTGTGTCTGTGTTCTGTGTGTGTGTGTGTTCATGTGTTCTGTGTTTGTGTATATAAGTGTTAACACTTTTTTCGAAGCACCATTTATATGTGTGTATTAAGAGCCCGTTATTGTTGTCGTGGACATCCAATTCTGCACTTGTTTCCGAAGACAAAAGGTGCATTCGATACCTCTATCGATACCTCTATCGATACCTCTATCGATACCTCTATCGATACCTCTATTGATACCTCTATCGATACCTCTATTGATAACTCTATCCGGGGGCGCAACTCTGGGGAGGGCATCTGGCAGCGTCATGCGACGCATAGGGGCCCAGTCGGCCACAAGGATGGACCCGAATAAACAGATAAACAAGGGGAAAAAAAATATTAAGGAAATGTTTGAACAACATTATTTCATTATAATAGAAAAAGTACCCGTGGTCTACCACCATGGATCAATCCCGATGATTTACGCATCTGGCTGTCGTATCAATGGAGCAGCGCAAAGTCGCGCGATCCACCCACAATTGGGGAAATCCTCCATCAATGGGCCCGGCATCTTTTTCTTAATACTGTCACTATGAGACATGTCTTCCTCTAAACCGCAATACGCGGTGCAACTAAAATCACGTTTAGTTGTAGCCTACATATTATTGTTATACGGGTTAAACACAACCGTGGCTATTTCAGTAAAAGTGAGTCGGGAGAAAGGAGGGGAGGGCCCACAGTCGAACCTTGAAATAGGGAGTTGCCCCCGCCTGCCTCGATCGAGATGATTGATAGTTCCCAATGCAAATCTAATTAATGAAGCTGCCCTTCCGAGGCCCAGAGTGGGTCTCCGCGTGTGTTGGTCTGAAATGGGGAGGGGTGAAAAACATCCATTGTCCCGTGTATTAAGGGTTGACGACTTTGTTGCGAGGGCCGGCAAAATTCGCGCGCCTGCCGACGGCGTCCTCGATTTCAACGAACGATTCTCCGGCGTTACCGAACGCATGGGATGGACGCGCGCAATTGAAGCACCTTTTCATACAGGTTAATTGCGGGACGTGAAAATCACCGCTCGCGCTTCCGTTGTCGTTTCAAATGACAGTGTGCTGCTGCTGCTGCTGCTGCGCGCTGGCAGACCCTGGCACTAACGATGAAGCGTCGCTTTTGGGTTTTTTTGTTGTTTAAATCACATGAATCATTCACGCAACTATTCGGAGTGCGCTTACTTTGCGCCAGATCGTAATTTAATTGAATCAAATGAAAACAACCCTTAAATGCATTTATTGAGCTACTTTATTCATTTGTAAGCAGGTGAGAGCCGATCTGCCTGACTGGGTGGCGCAGTTGTTCGGGCGTGCGGCAAGGGTTTTCACGCATCTTTAAAACATCTTAGCCGTGCCCATTTACTCTGAAGGCACCATTCGTGCAGGATTGTTGATTGTGCCATCGTGGTGAATATACGGTGAAGAGATTTTGAACTTTGTGTTGAGATCACCGAAGATAGATAAGAATAACAGCATCTGCAGTCAATTCGATTTTATTTAAAGCTCTTTGTCAATCCACTGCTGCATGAACACTTGCTCATTGGACGGGGGGTGCTTGGTCATGCTTCACCATGCTGTTCATTGCACGTGTAGTCAAAGGGCGCGAGAAGCCCGCGACCAGTTTAGAGGTCGCTCCCCACTGACATCGGCCGTGGCTGGGAATCGAACGCGGGTCGCCGGGTTCATGAGCGCGGCACGTGCAACGTCGCTCCGCTGTACCGCCGACAATCTCATTGACCACGACGCGGATCCAACTTTCCGGTCGTGAAGTTTGCAAGTCGCGACACGTTTAGAGCGGGGATCATCTTTCTTTTTTGTTGTAAACCTTTCCACAGAAGAAGGCCACCGCTCCTAACGCTGCTGCTGCTGCTGCTGCGTTTGCGCCCAGGTCGCGTCGGGCGAGTTCAGCGAGGACAGCGAGGTCTACAACTTCTCGCTGAGCACGGGCGATGAGCTCACGCTCATGGGCCAGGCCGAGATCCTGTGCGGGAAGCCGCCGGGCCGCGACCGCTTCCGCCTCAATGCCCTCCTGCGCAAGCTGGGCCGGCTCAACGCGGCCGTGAGCGGCGGCGGAAACTCGGGCGGCGGCGGAGGTGGGGGCGGCAACAACAACGCCCCCTCGTCCGTGCTGCGCCCGGCCAAGGGCAAGATGCCGTGCCTCATCTGCATGAACCACCGCACCAACGAGAGCCTCAGCCTGCCCTTCCAGTGCCGCGGCCGCTTCGGCACCCGCAGCCCGCTGGAGCTGCGCCTGCGCGAGGGCGAGCACACGCTGCGCTCCATCCTGGAGCGGGCACGCCTGCCCGTCAGCGTGCAGGTGCCGGGGCCCGGCGGCCTGGGCGGGATGGTGCCCGCCGGGGTCGTCGTGTTTGGGGGTGGAGGAAGCGGAGGAGGAGGAGGAGGAGGAGGAGGAGGGGGGGGGCGGAACGACGTCCCGGGTTCCCGCCGGACCCCAGCCTCCGTCGGCGCCGCCGCCACGCAACCCCTACGACCAGCACAGCATGCGGGAGGGACACCGCTACAAGCTGGTGGGCATCCGCGCCAAGATGGTGGTGGTGTGCTGCGCGATCCGCCCCGACGGCCTGGGCGGCGAGACGGCGCTGCCGCTGCACTTCACGCTGCAGGTGGGCGCGACGCTCCCGCGCTTCGCCCTGCCCGAGGGGCTGGCTTGCGCCGACAAGGCCTACGAGCGGGCGGTGCGCGACAGGCTGGCGCTCGTCCAGCGCAGCTTCGACATCGACGAGTTCTCGCGCGCGGTGCGGGAGGCGCCGCTCGTCGACCCCCCGCCTCCTCCGGGCGGCGGCGGCGGCGGCGGCGGCGGCGGCGTGGCCGTGGGCTCGTCGGGAGCGACGACCGGGGGCCGGGACGTGTCGAGCCCCAAGCCGGGGAGGTCGGCGCCGGCCCCGCACGGCGGCCACGTGCCCTACGCGCGCGAACCCAGCGGCTGCCCCTTCCAGCAATGGCCGCCGGGGTGCGCGCACGGCGGGGGCGGCGGGGGGCGGCTCCAGCTTGGCTGCTTCGGCGGAGGTGGCGGCGGCGGCAGCGGCAGCGAGGCGTCGCTCGCCCGCTCCTCCCGCACGTGCTCGTCGGAGGAGGAGTCGCCCCGCGGAGTCGCGGCCCTGCCGCCGCTGTCGCGCGACCGTCGCTCCGTCCACGACGAGAACGGCACGGACGGCGACGGCTACGGCGGCGACGGCGGCAGCGACGATGACGGGGAGTACGTCCTGCCCGAGGAGCCGCGCCCGCCGCCGCCGCCGCCGCCGCCGCAGTCGTCGTCGTCGTCGTCGTCGTCGCACGCGGGACGCCCGCCCGGCGCCGATCTTCCGTACGAGGAGCTGTGGTCGGAGCGAGCCGTGGCCGCCGGGAGCCCCCGGCTGCTGACGCGTGGAGGGAGGGGATGCCGGGGAGAGGTGGACGCGGTGTACAGCTCCCCACCACGCGCCGGGCACCACGACTGCTCGCTGCACCCGCCGCCACTCCCGCCAAAGTCGCAGGCGGTGAGGCTCGGCCAGGACAGGCATACGTCGGTTGCTCACCGTCGTCGGTCGCTCACCGTCGTCGGTTGCTCACCGTCGTCGGTTAATCATCGCCGGTTGCTCACCATCGTCGGGGTTGCTCACCATCGTCGATGTTGCTATTGCACGTCCCTCGCAATCGTGCATTGTAACGGTACATCTGGCACCTTTCGCTGCCTTCACGAACCTACCCTGACCATGTGTGGTGAAGTACGGCTGAACAATACCCCCACCACTGACGCAGCATGGGGCGAGGCATTCATCGGCCTGTTGATTGATAAAGGGATGTGAAATGTGAATCATTACTGTGGTGAAACCATTTGGGAAAAAAATAATTATCGAATGAAATTGCGACTCTCTCAAATTGTGGTGGCATTGGGAATCAACCGTGCCATCCCTACTCAGAAGTTCTGGTCAATGTCCTGAACCTATTCGTCACCTGTGTTTTTAATTTACATATAGCTCAGATACAATACCTGACGTCAAACTGACAATCTTTAAGAGTTAAAACTAAAACATTTTTTTTGGCTTAACAAAATTCGAAACAAAATATCCTTTTCACAAGTGACAGCTTTTGCAGTTAAAAAACAAAACCAATCTTGGCAGTGGAATGAAACATCGATCCCTCCCGTGCTCCATTAATCTGCCCGTCCGCCGGCACCGCCGCACGCGCCTGGCGCCCGTGTCTCCTTCCAGGTGAAGGCCGAGTGCCGAGCCATGCAGGCCCAGGCGCCCCCCGTGCCCCCCCGCAGCACCAAGCCCCCCTCCACGCCGACGCTGAGCCCCCGGCTGCCTCCGCGCACGCCCCGGCCGCAGCTCAGCCAAGCGGCGGCACGCTCGCCGAGCCCCAGCCTCTCGTACTACTCGTCCGGACTGCACCACGTGTACGTGACCCCCTCCCCCCACACCGCCACCGCCCACTCTACTCCCACCCCCCCCTCCAACCCCATACCCCCCACACTCCGCCCAAACGCTCTCAACCCACGGCGGGAACGACGCACGCTGTTGAACTTCCCGCGCGGTGGCAACAATTTCCTGAATTCCGGAGGGATGATGGCCTGAGCCGAACCCCATCCGGCATGAGAACTTGTAACTTTCTTACGGGGCAGTATGGGTATGGTCTTGACGGCAGTACCACCTGGCCAGGTTAGGATGCATGATGGGATGGGTGGATAGTGAAATGGATGGGTGGATGAATGGATAGATTGAGGAAGTAATGCATGCGTGGGTGATTTTGTGGTTTAATGGATGGATACTGAACAGATGGATTGGTAGATATCTTGATTATCATGACTCCCAAAGTTGAATTTACTTCGGTATGACCGGTGACACCTCGCCACGTCCAAATCCTTAATGCGGTACCGTGATCAGTTTTCCACACTGCATAGTTGCGTGATAAAATCGCCGACACCACTTAAGTGTGATCACCGATTGCCGCCACTCCTCCTGCAAGTGGTGACCCTGATTGTCTTAACACTGTATCATGGGACCTCCTTTGCCAGTACCAAAATATGAAACTAGGTCTTCCCCTTTTTTCTAGCCAGAAAAAGGAGGTCCCATTATGTGGCTGCTCACCCCGAGCTCTCATTACTCTGCGAGTGCATTGTCTTTGTGCTGCTGTACGCCTTTTGGCGTCCTCTGGTCTCACACCGTTTGAGACGAGGCTCTAAAGAAAGCTGTCTCTGGTGTGGACCAAACAGTTTAAAAGACAATGCCACATATATTATCAGAGTGTTTTTTGTTTGCATTCTGACCACAAGTATTGTGGTTAATGCAGACATGATTCCTTGTAAAAGGTTTCAGTTTGGTGTTTTAACATCATAACAACTAATCTTTGTTTTTTTGCGATAAAGTCACGCAGAAATAATAAAATAACATAATAGTGTACGACGTTTCGATTGCAACACAAGCAATCACCATCAGGTACAGAAGAGCTAAATTTACGAGAGAGAGGAGACACATAACCGCAGATATATATATGCAGACACAGATACAACAGGGGATACAGAGAGAGAGAAACGTGGGAGCACACGAAATCAAACAGGTTTTAGCAAGATTTGGAAACTATATAACACAACACAGACGGTCGGTCAAAACACAATTAACGCAAGGTCAGGTTGATTACGTTATTTCAAAGATTGCTAAATTGTAAGTTAAGTGTGAAATTTAAAATCTAAAAAATATACACACCGCATACACATATATAGACATCCAAGCAGAACGAGTTAGCACAGAGACACATGGAGAGAGACAGGCACACAGTGAAGCATCATCTCTGTGTCAAGGTTTTAAATAGACAGAGGGTGGGGCTGAGATGTAATGGGGCAATTTCACACTTAACTTACAATTTAGAAATCTTTGAAATAACGTGATCAACCTGACCTTGCGTTAATTGTGTTTTGATCGACCGTCTGTGTTGCGTTATATAGTTTCCAAATCTTGCTAAAACCTGTTTGATTTCGTGTGCTCCCACGTTTCTCTTTCTCTGTATCCCCTGTTGTATCTGTGTCTGTACATATATCTGCGGTTATGTGTCTCCTCTCTCTCGTAAATTTAGCTCTTCTGTACCTGATGATGATTGCTTGTGTTGCAATCGAAACGTCGTACACTATTATGTTATTTTATTATTTCTACGTGACTTTACCGAAAAAAACAAAGATTCATTCTTGCAGTCACGAAAGCTCCAAATTCAAGTATCATAACAACTGTTTTGTTGCCAGAAAAACGGGGAAAACGTGTTCTCATATTTTGGCACTGGCAAAGGAGGTCCCATGAGGAAAACGGTGCTTTGCCGATGGTTAGGAAGATGATGGCGATGATTGGATGATTATGACGACATATGCATGTACGCACGTTGAGCTTCTTTGGCACCGCGCGAAAGCCAACCGTGCTAATCTGTGGTGCGAACTCTGTCAATGCAAAAATGCGATTGTTGCAAAAAATCTGGCAAACAGATTAGGGACAAGCCCGCTGCTCGCTCCACATCTTGTCGTATTTCTGCTGGAAATCGGTGGGAAAGGCCGAGCCCGCCGGCGCAACGCACAGGGGCCCCGCGCGATGAACAGCGCCGTAATTCCCCCGATGACGTGCACGGCGTCCCTGAGTGGCACTCGTGCCAGGCGCAGTGCCGCTCCCCTTGGGGGCGGCGCAGCGGCCGCCTCCGATCGCGACGGATGGCGCGGCGTGCAGCGCTTCAAGCCGGCTTGTCCGGACGTCGGCGCGTCATTCGGGACAGGCGGTGGCGCGGAAGCGAGCCCCGTAGCGAACGAACGACGGACTAAATGACCGACGCGTCGCGAGAGAACGTAAGCGGGAGAAACAAAGCGCGGGCGCCGCTTTTCCGGGGGACGAGCCCCTCAGCACTCCTCGTAAAGCTAGAGAGAGAGAGAGAGAGACAGGAGAGCGAGACAGGGAGGGAGGGAGGGAGTACTACAATGACCTCACTTCCTAATGAAATAATAATGAGGGGCTGTAATGTCGGAGGCCGGAGGCTTGCTTCGGAGGGATGATTCATGCGCAGATCGAGCTGTTGGTGGTCGTTGGCCGCATTAGTCGCAGCGCCCGGCAGTTACGTTTAGTGGACGGTGCAGTCCGTGACTTACTTTTGCTGGCGAGGTTTTGGCTGATGATTATTAGGGGTCTGTGTGTGTGTGTGTGCAACGATGCATCGTTTCATCAATTAATATCGATGCTTAAGCTCCTCAATGCGTGCGCCGCATCACATGTGTACGAAACTTTGCGAGTGTGTTTGTTGCATGTGTTCTACGCACGGATTAGTGTCCGTTCACCCAGTGTTGACAAAAGTTAACGAAACTTTTTTTTTTATTTTACCAGGTAAGGCCCACCGAGCTCTGTAGCTCTTTTTCAGAAGCGACCTGGCCACAAATGATAGCGCAACGAGGTGGCTTGTCACGTGGGGATTATTCCAGCCAAATACTCCCAACGCGTGACGTTGATTCTAAAAACGTGGAGGGAAAAACCGGAGGACCCGGAGAAAAATCCACGCGACCACGGGGAGAACACGCAAACTCCAGATATGCAGCGGCAGGCGTCAGAGTTGTGATGGAACCCACGACCTCCTGTGTACCAGGCGAGGGAGTTAACCATCTCTCCACCACGGCGCCACAAAAATGAGCATATTCGTAATGTATGTACAGTACGTTGAACTTCTTTTGCACTGTACGTAGCCAACCGTGCTCATCGGAGGTGCATAAATGAGCATAGTAGTAATAATGAGATACAATTATAATTTGCATGAATCGTAAAACAAAACCATTCTTAAATGTGTACTCTGACACTCGCTTGTGAGTGGTCGTTGCTAAGTGTGTGTTTTTTATATATGTGTGTGTATATATATAAAACATTCTCATTATTTTTAAGTACAGAGCAGCACACAATATTATCTTTTGTTTTGGAAACCAGTTGTTTGAGTTTGGTGCACACATGTTTGTGTTTGGACAGCAGTCCAGATCCCGTTGGCAGTGCAGCCCGAAAGCAAACAGCTGTTGCAATACTGACTGGAAGCAATGTGGGGTTCACTGGGAAATGAGGGTCAGAAGCTGTCATCGTCTCTGGTGCCGAATGATATCGTTCCTGTTTCTATTTACACCGCCAGCCATCGGTGTGTGTCCGGTTTGGTGGCGGTGCAGCGTGGGGGGTGGGTGGGGGGGTTTTTAGGGTTCACGGCTCCCCCAATGACCGAGTCTCGGCCGGCGGTTTTATTTGGCCCATCATCGCAATTGTGGCTGATAAGAACTAGCACTCGGGAAACGGCGAATTTCCACGACTGAGCCCATGACACCGTGTTCTTCATTGCAAGGCCCGCGGGCAAATGGCAGGCCCTTGGTGGCCTTTAATGCGGCCCCAATCGTGCTGCTGTCAAACACCAACGGTTCCACACATGTGGCGACCGTCACGCCGGTGATGCCTTATTGTGGACTTTCTCGAGGTGATACACTTGCATGAATGTTGGACTTCTTTCGCACCGTACGTAGCCAACAGTCCCGAATTGGAGGTGGATGGTAAAACCACTGTGACTCTTTAATAATTCTTCCGTAGCTTTGTGTCATACTGTGGAGGTCTGTAACACGAGTTCACCCATTGAAGGTCACGAGTTATCCGAATGCAGTTATGACCTCGAATCATCAATTCATTCAAGCCGTGCTGCTCCTCTTACATTGTAAGTTGTGTGAACCGTACAATGTCTGTTTATCCATCGTGAGTGTATGTACGTATGTATACATAGCTGTTTTCCAAGTCCACTGCTGGATGGGATCTCCCTAGACTGTGGTGGGTGGTGGGCATTATTTGATCGCACTTCTCCACGATCAATACACACCCTCGGTCTCTTTAAATTCACAGCGAAGAGTTGCTGCTCGGCACACACGGAAGCAGAAGGAACCAAATTGTCCCTCGACATTCCCCCCCCCAGCTTGTCCTCCCCACAAGGCTGTGTGGCCCACGCAACCTTCACCGGGGAGGGTTCTTGGGTTCCTACCCAGCGCACTGACCGTTTCCCGAGCTCGAGTTTTTGGGCCATCACTGACGTCCGTGGCAATTATCCGAACCGATCCCGGGTCTCCTCTAGGTCGACTCGGTGTTTAATGAGTAGCTGGCGTGGCGTGCTTTTAAAGACTCCCACCGCCTCGCTTTGAAGACTTACACTTATCCGAAATTTTTTGGCGCCAAGTTACAAACGACTCCTATTATCCGAGATATTATTCCCCCCCCCCCCCCCCCCCCCCCCCACTGTGGATAAGTGGATTCGATTATCAGGATCTGTGGTATGGGTCCCCCACGTCTAAATAACATTTATATTTTATTTCTGCTATAAATGTCCAATTGAAAAGCCACTTTGTTGAGCTATCATTTGTGGCCAGGCCGCTTCTGAAAAATAAGCTAACTAGCTCACTGTGCTTTGCCTGGTAAGATGGGGATGGTTTCCTTCTCTTTGTATGTGTCTGGGTGATTTGTTTTCTTTTCTCGTACTTTGCGCTCCAATTGTGTTGCTGTATTGTTTGTTGCTGTAACGTTAAGACCCGCCCCGACTGGACATCTGTGAAAAAAAGAGCTTCATAGCTCATCGGATTCCTGCTCCAGTACAAATAAATATTCCGATTCCGATAAAAGGACTTAAACTGCATATAGACGCACGACCTATTTACACGGTGTGTAAGTAGGTTCTGTGGATGAATTAACAAATTGATTGCAAGTCTTAGGACTCGGTGAGGCTTTTCTGGGTAAATATCGTAATGGGCCTTATTTGTATTTTTTTTCGTCTCTCTGATTACTCTCTCTCCCCCATCTCACTCGCTCTCACTCGCTCTCCCAGATTCTCCTGCCTCGCAGTCTCAACGCAGATGCCCCAAACGCCCCACATGTGCTCCAGGCTGACGCGCTCAATATTTAATGGCAGTGGCGCCTCTTAGCAGATGGGCGTGCGCATCTTCGTGCTAACCCGCCCTGAGTGCGCACGGTGCAGATTCCATCGAACATTGGACGTTTGTAGGCATCCAGCAATGGCATTAATTCGTCGACTTAAAATCGATTATTTACGTGTATAAAGTCCTGCACGTGACACTAGAATGCTTACGATTTTACACAAACTGTGCATGCAAACGATTGGCGAATGAAACATTTGAGGCTAAAGGAACCAAAATAACCGTACAAGTGAAAAACGATTTAAATGAATGAGTTGGCAAAAACGAGCCTAGAAAACAATTGAACTCTTGGATAGAATCCAGACCCCCGAATTGTGACGACTCATTGCATCGCCGGGGTGGTAATCATCACGAAACCTACAACTACAATGCAACACATGGAGTGAATGTTTGTCTCTGCATGTAAGTATTGGTTGTAATGTAGCAAGCGGTGTCATATTGGTTCATGCACTGAGCTGCGATCTCAGTGTCGGTGTGGGTTCAGTCGGAGGCGGTGACGCGACCCGGCGGTTGCGCGTTTGCCACTTACTGCAGAGGTTCACGGTCCGAATCCAGAGTCGTGTGCAGAGTTGAGACGCGCGGGAGAGAAAAGGCAGCAGGGCACGGCACGAGACGGCACGGGCCACACCACCGCCTCAGTGTGCACTGAACAGGGCTTCTCTTATAGTCACGCTTGCACGCATCTCGGGCGTTTATTTGGTATTTGCAAAGGTCTCTGTGCGAACATGTGCACTTCCACTTTTGCATTGGGAGAAATGTTGCTTCCCTTCTCCATTCATGAATCCTGTTTGCGAGGCGTTGTTTCGACCGCTGGCCCGCGGCGGTTTATTTCCTCCTCTCCCACTTCAAACGTTATGCTTGGCTGCTTTGCTGTTCGAAAACACAACGAAATGCTATTGATCGTCACCGAGGGGCCCCAACACCCATTCAGGTTTTTCGCCGTTCGAGTGAGCTGGCAAGGTCACGCGCGGGGGAAGTGCCGTACAGTGCCACGGCCGTTTAAGAATGGATCGAGCCCTCCACAACGCCGATGTCCATTAATCTCCGTAAATATCACATCCGCGAGCGGGCCGCGGTAATGCCCGCTTTATGGAGCTCATTCATCTTTCCATTTTGGGAGCGGCGCATTTCCGTTTCTGACTAAATAGGGGGACTTCTATTCCTCGAAATTGCTGACTCTAAGTGTTTTAAAATAACTTTTGTGGACTTTCTCGAGGTAATACATATGAAACATTTTATAGCTGCCGACAGCCATTTTACTTTATTAAAGTAAATGAATGTGAGTCTTTTCACTGACCGATGGTGGTCTATACATTTTACACAACGCATTATGTTGCGGAGGCAGACGTATAATGTTACGTACAAAATTTTCCTGCAAGTAATTTGACGATCGTATTGTTGGCTTAGTGAAATGTCAGATATTATACGGTATTCTCATTCACTTATGCAGCAAAGAGCACCCGCCATGGAAGGTTGTATCACTAATGTAAATTCGCAATCTCTCTGTCTCCATGGAATAACGAACATCTCCGTTGTTGGCCCGGAGGCAGGGATGGAAATTCTACATTTCGATGGTGGGGAGTTAGGCTTCCAACGTAGAACAGACTTTTGGGTCAAGTGCTGTTAGCGAGCACCCATGAAGGCCGGCCCTTGGGGGTGGATGGTCAGTACCTCACCCGGCCACCTTTTTTTCTTGAGTAGTGATGTTTATGCATCGCACCAGGTACTCATTTGTGCAGGAATCGAACTCGGGTAGCCGGGTTACACTCACAGGTACACTACCACCACCACACGTATGTCTGTGGGTGTTGATGATGCAAATTGTGGGTACTCCCACCTCTTCTATGACGTCTGGTCAGCATGGAAGAGTAGGCCAAATACCCCTTTAGAGGGGCTCTCCAGAGCTCCCTCTTGTGGATGTTCTTCAGTCAGCAGTGACTTGAGCGGGAAAATTCAGGCCTCTACATTTACATTTGAGGGTGGTTTGACTCTCGCGAATTGTTTATCCAGGGGTGTGAGGAGCAACGCGACGTGGATGGCCCAAGCGAACACGGACCCCGGAACCGGCTTCTGCTACCCCTGCGGCTGGACCTGCGATCACAGCAATGGTGGCGTCGGCGGCGCCGTCACCGTTGGCCCTCAACAGGACCGCTCGGCCCGGCCTTCTCTCTCCGATGGCCAGTCGGTAAAGACCTCCTGGTCGGAGACGTGGAGCCGGGGCTCCAGCGAGAGCGACGGCGGCCACTACCTGACGCCCGACGCGTCGCTGTCCAAGCACGGCAACTTCTTCTACGGTGGTCCCCGCCCACGCGCGGTGCCCCCGGCGCCCCAGCGCCGGGCCGACGCGGGGGCCGCCGCGCCCGCGGCCGTTCGCGGCGCCGACAGCCCCGAGGAGGCGCCGGCATCCCGGGGGTGGACGACTGGCTGCGGCGCGCCGCCTCCCTCGCTCTGCCCTCCGTTCGGCAGTGGCTCGGCGAGCCCGGCGGACGGCGGCGACCCGTTCGACCCGTTCATGCCCGCGCCGGATGAGAGGCGGCCGCCCGCGCCCGCGCACAACGGTTGCTGCGTGGTGAAGCAGCCGGTGCTGTCGCTCCTCGCGCGCGGAAGCCTCCCGCCCTTTGACAGGATCCTGTCGGCGGAAACGGCGCAACCGCCTGGCACGCCGGGTGCCGCCGGGCCCGTGTGCCCACTCTCTCCACCGCGGCCTCCGAAACCGGGGCGTGCCGCCGAGCTCCACCAGGGCCCGCTCGCGCCATCGCCGCTTGTCTCGTCCTGGGAGCTTCCGGCGGAAAACGGGACAGAGGTTTTTTCGTTGGGGATGGGCGGCGAGGCCTACCTCAGGCTGTCGGACACAGACACGGGCCCGGGTGGCCACGAGCTCGGCGAAGATCCCTGGAGGCCCCCGTTGGACCTGGCGGGGCTGTCAGTGGAGGGCGTGTGCCGGTGCCTGCGTTTTCTCGGGTTGCCCGAAGGGCCCGTGGCAAAATTTTCTTCCGAGAAGGTGGACGGGACGCTGCTCGCTCAGCTGTCGGAGGAAATGCTCCTCAACGACTTTGGGTTGGGGAAGCTGCAGGCCAGGAAGCTGCTGCAGTTCGTCGCTGGGTGGCGCCCAAAACTGTGAGGCCGGCGACGTCGACCGTTCGCGAGCGAAGCCGCGTTAAGTCGTTTGCGACGAGCGCTCGCATCCAATGGTTTACACCACAACCGAACGCACACCGTGCAGTTATTTATTGGCATTAATCACAGTTGCTGTCTACTGTAACGTTCTCACGATGCTCTAAGCAATGGTTAGGCCATTATGCGCCGGCTTCGCTAACTGATTTGGCGGTAAAACGTGAAAGCACTAACTTCATTTCACAATTAATTTGTTGTACTTATTTTTTGAGTAACCTATCGCAAAAAAAAGTAAAGGCCTTTACGCATCCTGTTTATGTGAGTGTATGTATGTATATACGAGGGGCGATCGAAAACTTTGGATTCGGCGAATGCTAAAAAAAAAAAGATACAACTGCACCAACGTAAATTTGGGCTCATTTTAAAGCCTCCATTTTGTACGCATGCGTCGTGTAACGTGAACGAAACCGTAGGTAACGAGGATCGTTCCGCCGAGGACCGTACACGCAAACTCGTGCGGTGACAACGGCTCTCTTCTGTGTCGTTTTGTCAGGATGAGACTTGGGTAATGGGGAGGGGGAGCGCTGATTTGCTGGATCCTGCAACCCCCCCCCCCCCCAAAAAAAAACACTCCTCTTGTCCGCAAAAAGTCACAGCTAAACACGGACAAAAAGATACATTTGTTTACTGTGTGACTCCTCCGTCTGAGAATGCGCAGAATCGTATGAATTTGCTGTATGACTCTTTTATCCGCGAAAAATACGGATAATTAAGATGACATTTTCAACACGACTCTTATCCGCATGTTCGTACACCCAGCAGTTATTTCAGAAAATCGGAAGATATCAGGGATGATGGATAACATGATCATGGAAAAGAGTAGTTAATGCTGTATTTAATATTCCATTTTTAAAATGTTTTGACCATTTCTTACACAGTATTGCTTATATAATTTGTATATACGAGTATGTAAAGCATCTGTTAGAAACTCTATTGTTTATGCTAAAGCGTAAAACGATTGTGAAGAATTAGTTCGTTCAATGTTTGTGCTTGTTTTATTTGACACGAATGCCGTCTCCAAGGTATTAAGATCAACATGGGTTCTGAAACGATGTAAAAATATTGCTCCGAGTTATCTTCCACTTTTTCAGCCACTCACTAAATGGTCTCGTGAACATCCTGAATACACGAAAACCACACAAACTGCGTTGCTATCTGCAATGGTTACTCCGGAAGCCTCGCAGGCGTCTGGTAAACAGAATCGTCCCCGTTTAAAAAAAAAAAACAGTCTCCAATGTTTTATTATTTAGCTTTTGCGATTTAGAACAAAAAATGTTGATGTTATGTTACAAATGCTGAATCATAATATTTGTTTTTTTTTTTCCATTCGCTGGCCAAAGGGGAATTTTTCGGAGTAACTGTCCAGAACATTGAGTGTTAAAGATGTCGAAGACCTAGCGCCCTCCTTTAAAGTCTCGCGAGTCGTCTCTGTCTATCGAACTCACGGCCATGCCTTTCCAGCGATCACTGTGATGATGATGATGAATGATTAACGTGTGCGCCGTGATGTGTGGGAGCCGTTGCAGCAAGACTGATGGACCGGCCCTTCACCTCATGACCATCAGACCCCCAGCACAGAACAATGAATGTGGCATTTTTGAAGCCTGTCTCAACCTCCCTTGTACAAAATACATTGACTACAATTGACCGAAGCGTTGTGGATTTCTTTCGCTGTCATTACAAACAAAATCACTTTATTTCCCCAGTGTTTTCTTTTTGTTTATATACACGCTATGCACACGATCTGTTTTATTAGCCGCACTTACCTGAATCTGAATATTTGTACTGGAGGAATCCGATGATCTTTCAAGCTATTTTTCACAGATGTCCAGTAGGGGCGGGTATGAACGTTATAACAACAAACAATACAAAAACATGAAAGTAGTGCAAAGTACAAGAAAGGTAAACGAATCACCCGAACACATAAAAATAAAAATAAACCATCCCCATCCTACCAGGCAAAGCCCACTGAGATATGAACTTCTTTTTCAGCAGCGACCTGGCCACATATGATAGCTCAACAAAGTGGCTTATCTTTTGGTTATTTATAGGAGCAAAATAGTATAAATAATCTCATTGTTTTTAAGACCCACTCATTTACCTTCAGTCAGGTCAATTTTATTTTTGTATAAATTCACTTGTTGGCAGTGCCGGATTAAGCTAGTGCGGGGCCTGTAGCATATGTTATAAAGGGGCCTAAATAAAAAAAAACACGTAAATATTAAAACACAATTTTTTTTACTTGCATTGTAAAGTCATTGTATTTTTTCATTTGCTAAACAACCAGATAATACGACAAATCGCTAACCTTAAACACCCAGTCGTTCATAAAAGTTTAAGGCAGTATAGTACTATAGTAATAGAGCAAGTGCAGAATAACTGAACCGGGAATTGATAGCTTGAATGTATTTAGCGCGGGGCCCTTGAAAGTGCGCAGCCTGTAGCGTTTGCTACTTTTGCTACTCGGATCATGAATCTGGCACGGCTCGTTGGTAGTTCATGATGCCCGAGTATGCTGACTTGGTTTGTATGGAATGCTGCAAATGTTTTTATTAGGCGCCCAAAAATTTTACCAAAGGGGGAAGGAAAAATAGTCCCGTTGCCCAAGCGACATTCTACATTCGCATGCTGTGGACCCAGTGGCGGTTATCCTAGTAGCAAAAGTAGCTCCACATGTAGTAGCAACGGGCCCCGCATTTTCAAGGGCCCCGCGCTAAATACTTTCAAGCTATCAATTCCGGTTCAGTTATTCTGCGCTTGCTCTATAACTATAGTTCTATACTGCCTTAAACTTTTATGAACGACTGGGTGTTTAAGCTTAACGATTTGTCGTATTTTCTGGCCATATAGAAAATTAAAACATGCAATTACTTAACTATACAAGTAAAAAAAATGTGTTTAATATTTACGTTATTTTTATTTAGGGTCCCTTTATAACATAAGCTACAGGCCCCGCACGAGATAAACCTGGCACTGTGTGGGCCAGTTTCCCCCCCAAGGACACACGTCTGTTGACTTTACGCTCAAACAGCAATCATCAGAGCGAACCTCCATATGCAATTAACTCACCGTGCAATTAGCTCGCAATGCAATTAACTCCCAATGCAATTAACTCACCGTGCAATTAACTCGCAATGCAATTAACTCCCAATGTGGCAAAGTACCTGCATAATTCGTACAGCTCTCGTTTTAATTTTGCCCTGCGAGCAACGTTGCTTCGTCAAAGATCTATCAGTAGACCCACGCATTTCAATTACTGAGCAAAAATGTGCGTAGCCTGTCGGAATAATAACTTTCCCATTAAATGCGTTCAAATGAATTAAGCAACAAATTAATTTGCTACGCTTATAGTATCCACGTATGCAGAATTACATAACGGGAAAAAAAATAAACATCTAAAGTGGTGTCAATCGTTAAGGAGGCTATTTATTTCTTAAGTATTCAATCAATTTATATGCACTAGTTTTGACACGGGCAGTTGGCCTTAAAATCAACGTTAAATGGGAAAAAAACACATCTTGCTCACAAATCCTGAGCAGTAACAAAGGGGAGTTGAGTTTCACTTTGAGGCCCACAGACATGACCTTTGACTCATCCTTAATACTTGGATGTGTTTGTGGGTCCCGCCGCATGTTGTCCAGCACGATGTCCGGCCTCCCGCAATTTAGTTCACGAAGAAGCAGCTCCGACAGATATAACGGCACAAGCGTGAAAACCCATGTAATCTTCTTACTACGTTTTAAAATATATAATTCGAATATTATATTCTTAGTTTTTTCGGTAAAGTCACGTTGAAGAGAAACAACAAAATAACAAAATATATAAAACAATAAAAAATTATCACGACGTTTCGATCATAACTCAAACGGTCATCATCAGGTGTGTCGGTTTGCTGATGATGACCGTTTGAGTTATGGTCGAAACGTCGTGATAATTTTTTATTGTTTTATATATTTTGTTATTTTGTTGTTTCTCTTCAACGTGACTTTACCGAAAAAACTAAGAATATGAATTACTGCAGTCACGAAAGCTTTAAATCAAAATTTAATTCGAATATTGTCAAGGATTTATTATTTAATTTGGTCTGATCTGCCATGTTCAATTTGTTGTTGTATTATTATTAAGGGCCACCACACAAGACCAAGAGTCCGAATCTCACGTGAAGCGGAATATGTACGGTTTATAGAGCGCATTCAAAGTTGAGTGCACAAGTTCTGTGTCTCAGGTCATCCCGGGCGGTGGGTGAGACTCATCAACTTGGCTTCTCTGAAGCTCGCTCGTTTAATAACGTAATTTAAGCCCTCAAGCTTTCTTTGCGATTTTTCTGAGAATTCTGCAGTTCCCTAATGGTGCAATTGATCGTTCTCAGAAAGTCTGGTGCTAATAGCGAATTGCAATTGCAGACACAGTAAAAACATGAATACTGGCAGAATGCATTTGGTGTGTTATATACGCTGAATTTATTTTGCACCGTACATCGCCAACCGTGCTAATCGGAGGTGCGGGAAGAAGGACAACACACTGAACATAACAATTAGTTACTTCCGAGTAATGTGCCCTGCTCAAGGTTAAAGGTCACACGTGGCAGGTAGAGAGTTGGCTCTCCTGCCTTGGGATTGGCCCAGAGAAGAACTGACTGCAATGACCATTGTATCTGCGGGCACAGCATCACGTGGCACTAGGTGGATTGTTGAATTGTAAGGATCGTGAGAGCTGGTGATGAAATGGGAAGGCCTTCATCCAACAGTGGATCGACCGTGGCTGGGTGGAATTCGTTTACCTGCAGATAATGAATGTTATGCTGCCATCGATTAAGTATCAATTAATACAAATAGTTCAGTTGGGAGTCATTTTCTAATTTCACTAAGTGCCCACCCACTGTGATATATGAATCCTGGTAACTGCAGCTCATAGTCAAGTGGTGGCATTACTGTAATTTTATATTTATTTTTTTAAAAAGGGGGCATATTGCTACGGGACAAGGTTTTACAACAATGCTTAACACTTGAAAGTTGTAAATATTCGCTAATCTCCTTATATAAGCAAAGTGCCATTTAAAAGCATAAACAAAAAAACGATATATTGTGATGAGTGTCGAGCGTTCGGTAACACGTATAACCAGTATTTCATGTATCTTGCAACAACAACAACAACAACAAAAACACTCCCTGGATTTGAATTGCAAGATGACCCATCACTGGACTCAACGGGACTAACCAGACACCCACGAAACGACAGCAAAAGCCACGCGCATTACTCTTGAGCGTTTTCAATGATGATGATGATGATGCCCGCTCTTTAGTGAAACGCTCGCAACAACGTAATTGTGTTTTTTTTTGCCCCATGCCAGCGGTCGGCGGAAGGTGTCGTTGGAAGGTGTCGTCGAAAGGCGGCTTTCCAAACGAGTGGCGACCCTCCACGAACCCCGTAAACACCGACGTAGCACCGCCCTCACAACAACCGAGGAGCCAATTGCTTCGCCCAAATCTGCTTGCCATGGGTTGCCAGCAGCGTGATGTCATCGATTGGGCAATCGTTTGTTCCTGGAAGGCAGGGGGGTGTGTGTGTGGGGGGGACAATATATGTTACCGTAGTCCTTCTTCCAAATGTGCATCTTCCTCTTGACAAGCATTTTGACCATTGTTATTTTACACAGTTTACCCATTAAGGGGGCCATCCATTTAGTCCGTACGCATGGAGGGGGGAATTAACCAAAATGCGTGCGCTTGCGTATGGGGGTCTACTGACAATGTACGGTGCATAGGAAACGAGGGGGGGGGGGCGGGGTGAAGCCTCGATAATAATGCAGCCGGCGGTGGCCTCTCTGTTTGCTTAAACACATTAATATTATTAATACTTGATCGTTTCTGCGTGGATTAAATATCGGCCGTTCTATATGATGGGGCGGGGGGGGGTGCGTCAGGCGTACGTACCCAGGCAGGTGGGGGGTGTTAAAAGTCCGCGTGCGTACAGGGAGGGGGGGGAGGGGTCAAGTTTTGACAGATTTTTGCGTACCTACTAAATGGATGGCCTCTATACACGGCAAGCGGTTGGGTCACCGCCGGTGGCATTTGGTTTCTAACGTGCGGCCCAAAACGTTCAATGTGTGTCCCGGCTATATACTGAACTAACTATCATTTGTAGTTGATCCTTGAGAGTTTATTGGCATGTGGTTGGAACGAGTGGACTAGACGTTAGCCCAACGTTACATGGGTCCTGCCTATACATTGTACTCGACTGCATTTGTAGTTGATGCTTTGCGTGTCTCTTACAAACCCCACCGTTGGCATCGTGGAAGCAGTTGATTGGCGGGATTAAGGTTCTTGGAGGCCCTAGGTACTTCTTAGTCGTAGTCCTTTGGTGATGACTTTATAAAGTTGCTGCTGTTGCTGCTGCTGCCCCATGTCACTACTGCCGCCGCTGTTACTCTGCTTGTTTGACGCCAACTTCGCCCATCCGCTGGACAGATGTTGTAACTGACACCTTCATTATTTAGTCCGTGCCCTAATTCGATGGGTGCGCGCTGTTTTGCCGCAGATAAGCAGATTTAATGAGAAATTATTGAGAAAAAAAAATAAGGTAAGCTTGAAAATATGAGCGAACATTTCTTCAACTATTTTTTTTTACTATGATCATCATATCGGATG